ATTATTTCTCTTCTTTTTTTTTTTATAGAAACAATTTTAAGATTTGGTTGTAGTAGTTCATCGTGTACGATTCCTTTCAAATTTCACCATAAATATTGCAATACCTTATGGCTTGAAATTTGTTTGAGGTGTTTCTCTACGATTTTTTTTCTCTACATTTTCCTATTTTAAGCCGTGCTGTTCGCAATCAATCCAATCCGTCATCGGCAGCTCGCCTATTACCTTAGGCAAGTTATTGTTGAAAAATGGCTTTGCATTTCTTTAGCAATATCGAAGTCACTTAACATCTTATGTGTGAGTTCTCATTTTGTATGATTATAAAGGTGAAAAATTTCTACTCAATTTGCGCAAGTTGTTTGCTTTTTCTCTAATAAAATTGCAGAATTTCATGGGTTTTTTCAGGTGTTTGCGGTTTTGGTAAAACAGAAAACCATCGTCAAGAAAATTTTAAACCGAAATGTAACCTTTCAAACGAAAGTCAATCTACGTAGTATTGTCCAATACAAATCGACTCGAAAAATACATATTTTTTCAAAAGATCAAAGTGAGGAGGCGAATTGCTGAGGGTATTGCCAGCAAGGATTTGAAAAAAAAAAAAAAACAATTTCAGGTAGGATTCTGTTTCGACAAACTAGCACGACTCAAGTTGAAAAATGTCCCACAATTATGTTAATACAGTTATGTTAAAGGTGCAGAAGGAATTACGGCGTCCGGCTTTTCCAAATTCTAAGTAGAACTAATTACAACTCAACAAAGCTTCTCAGATAATGTCTCATCAGCAAAACTAGGAATCTCGGAAAACCTTGCAATATCCTTCACATTTCGCAAATACGCGTATGTACTAAGTGAAACTTCCAAATGGAATGAAATGGAAATAGTTTTGCTTCCTTAATACATGGGCATTAATATTCACAAACGATTTCAAATACATATCCACCACGTTATATAATAATATAAATAATTTTTATTTTCACGAAAATTAAATAATATGTATATATATATATATATATATTTGGCAGAATTAATACATGCTTGCTATTGTTGCCGTTATTGTTCTTGATATATGTTCTCGTGTGATTCTTATTTTTTTTCCCTTCTTGTCAAGATTAAATTTGATTGCATATTGATCAAACAATATTTCACCGGAATAACTCTAAGCGTAACACATTTTGTTTTGTTTGTTGTTGTTGTTGTTGTTGCTGCCGTTTCTGTTGTTGCTGTTGTTGCTAGTTAGATTATTTTATATTCTATGTTTGGTTTTATTTACTTGATGTTGTTGTTAATATAATCAGTACTGAAAAATGTATTAAGTCCCATAGTCTATATGTAACACTACTCTATAGCCCCAAATCCTAATAAACGCATTCATTTCTCAATATACCGTTTATCTGTTTTAAAAAAAAACAAGCAGAGAGATGGATAAGGATGGATCTCAATTTTCAAAATTTAGCATCGTATAATATACCCCTTGATTAGACTGATTGAAATAATTTAAGGAAGATATAATTTCTTGGAGAAATTTACAATATATCGAGTAGTAGTAAAAAAAAAAAAAAAAAAAAAAAAACAAAATGGTGAAAAAAGTAAAAAGTAGTAAAGAGTGCGCCACTAGGTACTAATCGAAATGTAACCAAAATCGTGTCAATACGAATATCAAGTGATTCGTGTATGAAATCATTCATATTTAATACCGAATAATGTTATTTATCTAAATAATATTTTGGGCAATCAAAATACCTCATATCCATACGATTAGATCAAAGCGTACTAAGTAGATGAAGAGAATTTAGTATGCGACAATATAGTCACTATTTTCAATTGTTATTGTTAGTAGTTAAAGCTAAATGTTAACATAGTCGTTGCTTTTGTTGCTGTTCATATTATTGTTACATTTCTATACACAGCGCATTCATTTGCTGTACAGTTTATTATAGTTATTGCATTGCTGTACCAAATGTTACAACGAAATACCTATCAAAACATACCATGTACGTAGTTATCATATATGCATTATATGTATTGGAATTTATATATACTTATGTGCTTGTGTGCTTGTGTGCTTATTTGCTTGTATGCGTGTACACTTTCCTTCGTCATCGTTCGTTTGTGTATTGAGAATTCAAAATGGAATTTAACATTATCCCCTATAAACATGCCAACAGCCAATACGTTTACTTTTTCTTCTTCTTTTTTTTTTTTTTGTTCTCTTTTTGAATTTCAGTATTACAACAGTACAAATATATTGAATGAATGATGGATTTGAAGTCCTTACGGATATATGTATATGTATGTATATATATATATATATATATTCATTTCACATATTCATTTGTATATATAAGCCTTTGCGATTTATATATATATATATATATATATTTGTGTATGTGTATGTACGTGTATGTGTGGCAAAATGTATATGCCTTTCAAAGACTAATCTATTCGAAAACACGACTACTTAAAGTAATTACGTATGAAAGTTTATATGGCCAATGGCACATTTCTCTAAATGCCTTCCATCAATGACTTAACTTTTCTAAAAACAAATCTATATATTTTCGGGTTTGCATGCAAGTGCATGGCTAAGTATGTCCTAAGTACATTGAGGCATTGTTAAGAAGTCAATCAAATTTATTTATGAACATGACAGTGCATATGTGCGTGTGATCCTTCTCAACATTCCCAGTATCTTGTGTATGCGAATTCAGACAATCTTAATATGATAAAAGAAAACAACAGAAAGAAAGATGGACAGACAAATAGAAAGACAAATAGACAATGTAATTTAATAAACATAGAAAACCGGAAATGTAAAATGAAAACCTGTGGAAGAAAATGCTCTTACAGGTTTGTCCAATACTCCGTTACATGACATGATATACGTTTGTCATCAAAGCCTATTTACAGGAATTGCTGAACTACTTCTTCCATTCGGCTTTACAAACAGCTCTTTGATGAATTCCCTTTTCCTTTCTCGATCTCAGTCTATTTTCTAAGATGTTTATCGCTCTCAAATTCTCCGGATTTGTGGACAGTTTAGAAAAGTTATAATCTATGATTCCTAGGGAACATGTACTTGTTATGTCTTTCTCTAAAAGCAAACAATCCAATGGTTTCGATTAATCCGATTTTAATAGCCAGTTGTAGTTACTAACACGTTAATCTAAGATTTTTCTAATGTCTTTTTCAATTACCTCCTACGGGGACCCCTTCTCTATGTAGATTTTATTTAGTTTTGGTGCTACAAACCAAGCGGATGCGATTAAAAAAACAAAAATCACAAAAAAAAAAAAAACACCAACAAACAATTTTTCCTTTAATTAGTTGCTTGCGGTGTATAGCAGGCGTTGCATTAGTTTTTTATTAGTCGTCTATCGCTTATTTAGAAATGAAAAGAATAAAAATTTCGTTATTTCGAAGTTCTTTTTATTAATAAGCAAATTATATGAAATTTTAATATTGGTTAGTTTCGTCCTCCCCTTTCTGTTTACACCTACTTTCTTGTTCGTGATTTCATTCATCCGTTTGTCCTTCGAATAAGAAAAGTTGAGCATAGATTTTTGGATCAATTTTTTCAGCGAATTTTTAAACAATTAAAACAAAAACAAAAACAAAAAAAAGGAGAAAATAACATTTTAAAAGTAATCGAAAGACTTTTAATAAATGTTTATGAGTTAGCTTGAATTTGATGAGAATATTATGTATGTGTTATTTAGCTTAAGGCGAAAACGATTCGCCGACTCTGACCGACATTCACAACCGACATGCCTGCAAAAATGAGCAAATAATTCTTTATGGGATGAGAGTAATGTATCCAAGATTCGTTCAAATGCAAATGACACGCACGCACGTACGTACAGTGTTTGCTGACTGTAAGCTGCCTGTACTTTGGAATGAAATCTTTTGCATCACAAGTGTACTGAATATTTCACTTAGCTGTCCGTATTGTACAATAACTTTGTCGTGGTATATTTCATATTTTCAGTTGCTTAATAGAGCACATTTATAAATCTATTAGGCGGTAAATTGGACAAACCTGCCCTCTTGCCTATATGCATGCTTGCAGTTTATGCTCTTTGCACACAATACAAATTATATTTTCTATGTACATGTAATAAGTGTGTGTGTATGCGAATGCTTGTGTTTTTGTGCCATTTGATGTATGTATTGTGCTTGCCTGGCAATCAATAGTTAAAATTCCATTTATTATATGACAATTTCTTATGTGTGGTTGCTTGCTCCATAAATGCATAGACTCATAATCAAACCCATATACATACGTACATACCTATGTCCACATATGTATATATATATATATATATATATATATATATATATCTACGCACACTTTTGTATGCACTTAATGTCGAGTGATTCTTATCATCTTAAATTGTATTGGTTTGCTAGGAGACAAATTCAATTTAAAATCATAAAGTTCATGCTGTTACACAATTTATGTTTGTTCTCTTCTTTTTTCCTTGTTTTTTTTTTTTTTTTTTTTTTTTTGCCTTTGATTCAGTTATAAGTGCATTTTACATTTTTATGACTTGTCACAAATTTCAATACATAATTCTATTTATTTATTATTATTATTATTATTATTATTATTACGAATTTGTATGTAAAGTTTTTCTCAATTTTTTCTTATTATACCTAACGTGATAGAAGATTTTTTTTTTTTTTTTTTTTTTTTTTAATTTTATCGAGTGCATATGAAAATTTATAAAAGTATTCCGAGAAGTGTGTACATTCATTTCAGTTGGCACGTCAGAATCGTTGCTTAATCAATTATATGCTTCCATATATATATGTATATATATGTGCAGTAAAATAGAACTCGCGGTTAGGCTCGCATGGACAACAGTTGGGTCTAGCATGGACGTATTCGTGTATCTCGTGAAAAAGTTCGCGGGAAATGTCTGTCTAAGATTCTCTAGAATCTTACTACAAATGAATCTGGGCTTGTTGTTGCTATTCAATTAAGGGATATTTTAAAAACTTACCGGACCAAACTGCTCAAAATAACTTTTAACGTCTTCTAGTGTTGTGGGCGCCGATAGGCCACCCACAAATATTTTCTTCGTTCTCGTCACCATCTGCAAGTAAAAAAATAAATTAAATAAATACAATTATTCCCATTATATTAAGTTAATTACTTAAAAACGGGCAATATAATGTATGCTTATCTTGAAAGATACAAAGAACAATTTTTAGAAGAAGAAAAGAACAAGTCAATAACAATCTTAAGGGCAATTAAATGATATCTGACCATAAGATAAAAGCTTTTTCAATTATAAGTAAACTAAGTTGGCCACTTCCTGACTTGGCATATACTGAGTCCTATCAAATAAGGTCGGATAAAGTCGATATAAAAGGGAATCAAAACGCTTCCCTTTGGCAGAAATAGGTATATGCCACCGGCGTATGGATAAAAAACCTAATCGTAAATATTCACAATACACACATACCAATTATGAAACGTGTCTTATAAGCATTCGTTGAAAGAGCGAAAATTGGCAGAAGCCGACTTTCACATCCTACAATAAGAAATCGCAAACGATAGCATATATGTAGAGGCGATCAAAAGAAAATGTTTTAATTTTAAAAAGTGCCTGCATTGATGTGGCTTATAGAAACAATAATTCTCGCCTTTAAATTCTATGAGTCGCTTGCACACTCGTATCTACGTGCCAGCCCTTGAATCTGTAATAAATACTTGTGACTGCAATTCGCATTTAAAAAAAAGAGGGAATTTCTCTCGTCATCGACGCTGCATTTAATACGATGAGAGGCGAAATGCCGACCTTTTAACTAACACAAAACACAGGGCGGTGGCAGAGGCAAGTTATTGCAATTAGAATAAGGGAGGGAAATTGAAAAGTCATAGCGCATCTTCCAAAGGAAGCTAATAAATTATTATTAAATAAGAAGTGTTTATCTATATTGTCTATGTGTATACTTGAACAATAGGATTGGAATGATGTCTCTTTTTCGACGTGCACAAAACAAACAAACTTACTTACTTTATGACGGTTTACACATATATCTATCTGGTTGCGATGAAAGCAGATATCGTTCGAGAATCATCGGTGCCCTGTAGCTATTAAAACGTAAATCAATTTAAACATGTATGTAGGGTGATAAGCTGACGTTAGAGGCTCTACACAAAACAAAAAAAAAAAAAAAACGAAGCGAAACGAAACGAAACGAAACGAAAAAACGAAAATGAGAAAAAAATCTTTTAAAGACTTTGTCCCCGAATTATTGTACTAAATTCATCTATAATGTTCATGAACGTGATTTTCTTTCTCTCTTCTTTTTTCCATTTTAATTCTCCCTATATATATATATATATATATATATATATAGCCGGCCTAAACATATCACAGTTTGCAGGAGAAAGGAAAAATAAAAAAAGAAGAGAAATCTCGTTTATTTTCAATATTTTATTTTTTCGTTTTTAATTTCCATAAATCTCTCTATTGTGTGTTCGTTTTTAATTATTGGAACTTTATTTTTATTTT